GAGAGAGAGAGAGAGAGAGAGAGAGAGAGAGAGAGAGAGAGAGAGAGAGAGAGAGAGAGAGAGAAAATTGAGAGAAACTTCTGCAACTGGCGATTGGAGTTCAAAAATAGAATGTCCAAGATGATGCGTAGAAGGAATGTCATCTGAAGGAGGCTCGCGCGGCACCGATAAAATAAATCGACTGTGGGGGGGTACCGCCTCCGAAAGGGGCCCTCGGCCGATGGCTGGCCTGTACTGGCGGTGCAAGGACTTCAAAATATCACATAGCTGCGTCAAACTAGCATCCACCTTTGTCCTTACCCCGCTTCAACATTGCCTCTCCAACCCAAGAAAAGAAGCGCAGGGTCACTTCAGCTGCATGCAAGGCGCTTTTCAGGCCTTTTTTTTTTTTTTTTTTTTTTTTACAAGTTATAATGGCTCTTTGTAACCGTGCCTGTTTAACAATCGCAGTTTTCTGTACCTTCCCTTTCTGTTTGAATAAGTTTTATAGAGTTTGTGCAATGTGCATGATTTTGAATTTTTTAGTTTTTTTTTTTTTTTTTTTTTTTTTTTTACATAAAAAACACACAGCCTCATCTGTTCTAAGGCGCAGCAGTTTTTTTTTTTATCACCGGCAATTTTTTTTTTAAGTTTCAAGGTTTTTTTTTTTTTTTTTTTTTTTTGAACAAATGCTCCAGTCTATTCGTGGGGAGCAGCACGTGCTATTACAAGTTGCAAGTTAACAATGAAAACATTATCATTTCAAGAGTGCATGTCATGGCTACCATCCGGACATCCGGACAGGCTTCCAGACGGTCTACTGTCCGGTGTCTGGACTCCGGACCGTAGTAGGCCCGTCCGAAAAGGGCCAAAACCCCAAAAAAAAAAAAAGGGGGGGGGGGGGGCACCGTAGACCTGTTCCTTGGGTCGAGGGCGCCCCCTGAAAAATGTGTTGATGATTTTTAGGGCCGGTATCGGTCTCTTATACACATCTAGATGTGTATAAGAGACAGGGCTGTACAGGGCGGCTGCACCGGCCCCTTTTCTACTTGCATCCTGGAAGGCAGACCGTTGGAGGCAGGCGCGGGTCCCCAGTGACCTTCAGATACTTTCCCGCCCACCCGCCGCCTCCCCCCCACACACGCACACACACACACCGAGGGAGAGGGAGAGAGAGAGAGAGAGAGAGAGAGAGAGAGAGAGAGAGAGAGAGATGCATACATGCATGATGAGTTGGTGAAAGTCCAGCGAAACAGTCTGCTACCATGATGCTATTGTGTTTGGAGTTGTAGATGGCGAATATGAGAACACGCATACACACTATACACACATACATACATGCTACCATGATGCTATTGTTTGTAAGCACACTAGTCCTCCCACTGGCCTTGCTCAAACTTGAACTGAATATCTGAAGGAGTTTCATTTGACAGTCTCCACCATCCCTTCTTTGTCGTACTGGCTCCATCTGGAATTTCCAGGGTATATGCTGGGTTCATCTGAAATTCCAGGGTACCTGCTGGGTCCATCTGGAATTCCAGGGTACCTGCTGGAATTCCAGGGTACGGCAAAGAAGGATAACTGCAGACTCTAGGGCATGGGTTATGGAAAGAGCATATGAATGAGTGACACCATCTGGAATTCCAGGGTTTGCTTGCGTTGAGCGGAATGTAATTCTGTCCAATGGGGATGACGACTTTTCTGACGTTCCCCCCGCSCCCCCCCCYGCCCCCCCCCCCCCCCCCCCCGCCCCCCAATGACCTGCATAGTTGAAACAAGGACTACACCTCCACAAGTGGGGCATGGCCCCTTGACACTTGACAAAATGAAATGACGGTCAAACCATTCACGGCAGGGGAAGCCTTGCCAGTGACAAAAAAGGGGTCCTTGAAAAAATGACGGTCAAACCGTTCAGGACAGGGGTGACCATTCAAGCAGCCCTTTCTTTTTTCATCGTAGAAAAATAACTGATTTTATATTGTGCTGGAAACTGGGTCCACCAGAAGCCTTGAGGCTAAAGAAAAGGGGGGTCGACCGTGGGACTGTGTTTATGACACCATCACAATTGCTGCGCACGAAAGTCAGGAGCAGAGCGCGATGATAGATAGTACCGGGTCATTGAGGTCCCAGGAAAAAAAAAAAAAGGAAAAAAAAAAAAAGGAAAAAAAAAAAAAGGGGGGAAAAGGGGGAAAAAGGAAAAAAAGAAAAAAAAGAAAAGGGTTGCCCACAGGGGCTGGGAAGGGTGCCAGGCAGAGTGCTGAGGGGTGGGTGGAGAGATCATGGTAGACACACGGCTAACTAGTTTCCTTGATTTTAATACTCCGCCTTCCTCCCACCCTTTGCCTCTTTGGTTGAGATATTCCCAGGTTTTATCTTCGATTTGTAGAGGTATAAAGCTCATGATTACGAGTGCCCTCAACCTGACTGCAAGCATAAATTACAATCTTACGGGAAGTTACGGCGACATCCGGAGTGCAGTTAAAAAACTGTACTTTTTATTATGACCTAATGACAAACAAATGTCATTTGTGAAATGAACCACCAGTACTCCGCCCAGCTATGGATGCCGAGCTTCTAAATTCGCAAGGGCCGTCGCGGTCCGGTAGCCAGACCCGCAAAAAATCGGTCCGCTAGTGAGACGGGCCTGAGAAAAACTAACGACAAGGGTCTGCTTTTAGCTGGGACGCACCGGCCGTCTCGGTCCGGTACCCGAACTTTGTTTTCCAAAAGGGGAAAGGTACTGGTGTTTTAACATAAGACACTTTTTTGCATGTGCCGTTTGAAATGGTGTGGCAGGGCTTCCATTCGGTGATGGTCGATGGCTCGCATCTCCCATTCGAGGAGAATGTTGCATTGACAAAGAGGATTGTGGATATCGCCCACGGACGTGGCATCACCGTCGAAGCTGAGCTTGGGCGCTTGTCTGGCTCAGAAGATGGGCTTACGGTATATGAGTACGAGGCAAAGCTGACGGATGTGGAACAGGTGATGTTGGCAAAATGCTGCAGACATGTCCTCAGATGATGATGTCAAATTGCAGATATGTCCTCAGACATTTTTTTTTTCAGGTGTTTTGATTCTTGCCTTGTTTCGTTTTTGGTCGAGTTCCATTTGTGCCAAGTTCGGTGTTTGTTGGAATTTTGGATTTCCTATTTTGGCACCCCCCCTGAAAGTCCTGGAAATTACGATAATGGTACTAAAGGGTGAATTTCGCATCAAAACATATTTTTTGCCTCACGGTTTTATTCTCCTTTCTTTAGTTTTTTTTTTCTTTTTTTTTTGCTGTTGGTTTATGTTTTCTCCACTCCAGGGAATTGGTGAAATTTGGTTTAAACTTTAAATTTTAAAGTTTGAAGTTTAAAGTTTAAACCACCAATCCATTTCCCAGCCATTTTTTCGATTTGTTAGATATTCATCCAGGAGTGCGTTTTGCATCATGCTGCCATGACTCTGGGGAAGTACCGGGTCGCCGTTTCGCTAGATATGCATCCAGGCACAGGCAAAATGGGATGCCTGCGAGACTCGTATTGTCGGGATGGATATCCAGCGAAACAGCGCCCTGGTACTTCCCGAGAGTCGTGGCAGCATGATGCACACCGCAACACTGAACAAATGGATGGGAAACCTACTTGTGGCTTCAAACTTCAAAGATGTAGGAGCTTTTGTTCCCTGCTAGCCCTGACATTTTAGGGCTCTGTTAACTGCTTCTCTCAAATGCAGGCATGTTCGCATGTATTGTCCTCAAATTGCAGGCATGTCCGCAGACGTCCTCCTCAAATTGCAGGCATGTCCGCAGATGTCCTCCTCAAATTGCAGGCATGTCCTCAGATGATGCTGCCCCATTGCGGGCAACTTGAATATGTCCTCCGATGATGGTTGGTTTTTCCTTTTTTAGGTCATCTGGTTGCATGCAGCTGTGAACTTGGGTCTGTTTTCCAATAATTCATGGGTGTAGCAACTGAGGCTACTAGACCCGTCGTCCGTGCAGATGACAATGTCAAATTGCAGGCATACCCTCCCTGCTGTACAGATGTCCTGCTCTCCTCCGGACTACTACCTTTTTCTGTTTCGCAATGAACAATGAATAGCCTCAGTTGCCAAATTGCAGGCTTGCCCTCCCTGCTGTACACACGCCCTGCTCACCTGTATGTGGTTTACGACAGCATCCACCTGTGTGAGGTCTGACCTATTGGATGAAAAAGATGGCAGCGTTTTTTTTTTTTTTTTTTTTTTTAAAGAAAGAACTGGTAGTCCCTTTTTTGTTGTTGTGGGGTTTTGTTTGTTAGTTAGTCTTGTTGTACTTCAAATTTGTTGCATGTCGGCTTTTGCTCTGGATGATTGTTGTGGATGATTGTCGTTGCCTCTTGTTTTTTTTTTTGTTTGTTGTTGTTGTTACACAGGTGGGTGGTTAACTACGGGCCTCGCTGCACTACTCTCCACATGCACAAAAGACAAAAAAGATGGCGATGTATCTTTCCATGTTCTGGCGAAGGATTCAGTCCCAATTTGCACATCTGGAGAGTAGTGCAGAGATGGCCTATTGTGCAAGTCCCATAACTTATGTCCTTCAGGCCATTCATTAAAATTAGAACGATACAGATCCTCGAAGCAGTATTTATTGAGTTGATGTTAAGGAGCGTTGGAGATTGACAAGCAGTGCCCCTTGTGCTCCTACTTCTCCTCCTCCTATTGCTTTTTCTCTCCATGCAGGCGAAACGGTTTGCAACGGAAACCGGAGTGGACGCCTTGGCTGTTTGCGTGGGGAATGTTCATGGGAAATACCCAACCTCAGGTCCTAAGCTCGATCTTTCGCGCCTCAAGGTTCGTACTACTAGTTACTCTCCGTATTGCCCACCTCCCTCCTCTCCACACAATGATTAGCTACCTACCACCTATCTCCCCCACCTACCTCCTCCTCCCTCTACAATACGGTGATGTGTGATCTGCGCACCCACCCACCATGATCCTCAACAGTCGTGCCTCGTAGCATTTTTTTTTTTCCCATGTTTTCAGTACCTTCATGCTTTTTCATTCCTTTCCAATCCTCCTCATTACTTAACTTTATCTTTTCCATCACTTCGTTTTGGCTCCTCCTGTTAGTATTTTATTATTATTATTAATTTATTATTATACTTTATATTTTATTATTATATTTTATATTTTATATTTTATTATTAGTATTTCGTATTTATTTGTAATTCACTATTCTTATTATTATTTTATCTACTTTCTGTCCCCCTGGATATCATTATCATTAGCACTGCTATATGTAACGAAAGAAGAAACGGTGCAACTAGACTTGCCAAAAATGAAGTTTAATGAACGGATTTTGAGGACAACGGGCTCAAGACTCATCTTCACTCTCAAGTAGATTCAATGCGCTGTTTCTCTCTGAGTGACTTTATCATCAACTGTCTACCACTCAAGCTGGTTTTACAAATTACAGAAGCCTTTTTTATTTTGCTCATTGTCATTTAGAAAAGAATCAGTTGTTTGAAAAACACATCACAGAGAACATGGAATTTTTAATTTTTAATTTTTAATTTTGCTTTCCAGCTTCTGCCCAAGCAGATATCAGAAGCCTGGTTACGCCCGTTTATTGATTAAAAAAAAAAAAAACAATCAAAACAGAAATCCAGGAGGTGCATCCCCTCTTTGCTTCCATAGAGGCAGGGCAGGGGTGTTGATAGACCCCCTTGGACAATTTTGCAACCCCTCTTGCTGGCCATATGCACCCCTCTTGCTGCCCCAGAGCCAGGGTGTTCATACACCCCTCTGGGTGGTTTCACACCCATCCCGTGCGGTCGATGAGCAACCCCCCTCTTGCTGCCCCAGAGGCAGGGGTTTTGATACACTCCTTTGGATAGTCTTACACCCCCTCTCCCTGCCTCCACCTGCACCTCCTGAAAGGAAAGCGAAAAAAAAAAGAACAAAAAAACAAAAAGATGGATCTGCCAAATATACCTTCATCTCTCATGCTCTACAACAATGAAAACAGGATCGAATATCATCCAACCAATTTTTTTCTTTCTTTCTTTTCATTTTGTTATTTTGGGTCCTCAAATGATTGTACCTTTTTTTTTTTTTTTTTTTTTTTTTTTTTTTTTTTTTTTTTTTTTTTTTTTTTTTTTTTTTTTTTTTTTTTTTTTGGAATTGCACTTTTTCTTCTGTTCAATGGACACCACTTTTTTCATTTTGACTTTTTGTTTTTTGTCATTTTGTGGCAGGCTCTGCACATGGCGTTTGCAAAATCTGGCCCTGCTCTCGTAATGCATGGCGCTTCCGGCTTGCCTCCTCCCGTGATCCAGGTTTGTGCAAGCCTTCTGTTCTTTTTTTTTTTCTTTTTTTTTCTCTTTTTCTTCGCATCATATTGTCTGTTCTTTTATTCACATAACCTTTTTCAGCTTGTTGTCCTCTTCCTCATCATGTGTATACGTAAGAAATAAAAACGCCAAACAGAAATCCACGATGACGAAGGACAAAAAGCTGAAAGGCTGACACTCGAAACGAGAGATCTTACAAGTTCCTCATCATATGTCCTTCCTCATCGTGTCCTTTCAGGGGCTGATACTTTTAGCTGATACTGGGCGTAAGATCTCTCCTTTTAGCCGATACTTGGCGTAAAGGTGATGTCGGCTAACAGAAGTTCACATCATGTTTACGCCACGCATCTGCTAAAAGGACAGATCTTACAACACTTTTGAACGACTTTCACCCTGCTAAAAGGTGATGTCGGCCAAAAGTCTTTGACTCTTATTCCTCACAACTTTTTGGAGTACATACTAAACACTTGTGAACTCCTTGTGTGAAAAAGTAAAAAAGAAGAAGAAAAGGCAGGAAAAAAAAAGAACAAATAGAAGTGATCATCGTGGGTCTAGTGCTTGGCCTCTACAGCCATGCAGGAGGGGGGGGGGAAGGGGGGTGTGGATATCACAACCGGCATGGATCCACTTTTGTACACTGTCCCATGGTTGTAGTGGTTAAGAAACTTGGCTCTTGAGGCTGAGGTCGCCGATCAGACTCCTCAGCACCCTGGGCTTTATTGAAAGAAAAGGATCGAAGAGAAGGCGCTAACGCGAAGTTCTGAATCTTAATTGGGGAATACAAAGAATACATGGTATCGTGCTCCAGATACACACTGCAGTCGACAATCCCTCCTTTTTCTATTTTTTAATTATTTTTCTACTCTTAAAAATTAAAACTCTTAACATCCTCCCCCTTGTTTGTGGAAAAAAAAAAAAGGATGACGGCTTTGAGATATCATTACAGAAACAACCATCCGCCTAGAACTTGCATTTGTATTTCGATAGTTCACGGGCATTGCAACTGAGCTACCATCTTCCCCGTAATTTTAGGTGTATCGGACCCGGAAGCTAGCTTGTATACATTCATAATCAGGTGCTGTGTTCAGGGGAAAATGGTAGGCTCTTTCATTTGATTCCCTATCAGAGTGAAGTCAGAAACTTGAAAAGAAACTATGACGGGATGGAAGCAGGAATGGAAAGACAGAACAATATCTCCGAAGGCCCCTTGCGCATGCTTTCAGTTTCGAACCCTGTTTTTTTACGTATATGAAAGCGTCTATGAAAAAAGAAAGAGGAGGAGGAGCCTTCCCCTCTCTCCCTCTTCTTCTTTGCAAAATTGAACCCGAGGAGAGGTCTTACGCCCCAGACGCCAATTTCTCGCTTCACCAAGATTACATAACCTTCTGAGGTGTACATCTCCGAGTGTACATTGAGTAATTTGGGGCATCCTTGTCCAGTGCTGCCAGCATAGTTGACAAGAAGAGAGAGTTGGGTAGAGAGCGAGGAAGCGGGAGAGAGTTGAATGGAGAGAGCACGTGGAGAGAGAGAGAGAGAGAGAGA